TGGCGATTTGGCGATTTGGCGATTTTGGCGATTCTGCATTCCCCTGTTGTGGCTTCGGCCATGCAAGGCCGGGATTCATCTAATCTTCAGGATAGCAGAGCTTTTCTCAATAATGAGGATGATGACCTAGATTGGATTAATGTAGTGCAGCGTAAAAGAAGGTATCGTAAATGGCGATTTGGCGATTTGGCGATTTTGGCGATTCTGCATTCCCCTGTTGTGGCTTCGGCCATGCAAGGCCGGGATTCATCTAATCTTCAGGATAGCAGAGCTTTTCTCAATAATGAGGATGATGACCTAGATTGGATTAATGTAGTGCAGCGTAAAAGAAGGTATCGTAAACCCTTACCCAAACCAATTGATTCAAAATCTAATGCTCATACTCGTATTCAAAATGTTTCGAACAAGGAGGTTGGAAGGCATCATCTAGCAGAATTAAAGGGTAAGGTGTTCCAAAAACCAAATCTTTCTGACTCCTGGAAATTTAAATCTGGTGGTACTACATCATGGAAAGACATTTGTACTATGGGACGTGAGATAAATCAAAGCTGTTCTTTAGAATACTTTCCTCCATCGATTGATAGTAATGGTCTCCGTTATGCATCTATACCTAGATCTGAGATTCTCCTTAATGTGGAAAAATGGAATAACACTTTAGTTGGTTATGTCCTCGGAGATAAACCTTTTTATTCACACTTGAAAGGATGTGTTGGTCGTCTTTGGAAACTTTCATGCTCCCTTGATATTTATTCTAGAGAGAATGGTTTGAAAGGATGTGTTGGTCGTCTTTGGAAACTTTCATGCTCCCTTGATATTTATTCTAGAGAGAATGGTTTTTTCTTCTTTAAATTTGGTTCAAATGAAGAGTTAAACAAGGTTTTAAATGGTGGGCCTTGGTTGTTTGATGGCAGATTGATTATTTTGAAAAAATGGACTGAAAATATTGGATTAGAAAGAGAACTTCTTAACTCAGTTCAAGTTTGGATTAGATTTCCATCGCTGCACCTTAAACTGTGGTCTAATAATATTATTGGGCGTATTGCTAGTCTTGTGGGTAATCCTCTTTATATTGATCAAGCTACTGCAACTGGTGAGAGACTAGCCTATGCTAGATGCTTTGTGGAGATCTCCTCTAACATGAAGCTTCCAAATTCTGTAAGGTTGGATCTCGGAAATGGAGAATGGTTAGAAACTATTGTGGAGTATGAATGGGTTCCTCCTAAATGTGGTAAATGCTTAAATTTTGGACATGTTGATTATCAATGTTCTGTAGAACTTGTTGAGAAATGGGTCCCTAAAGAGACTGTAAATAAGAATGAAAAGGAAAAGAATGATGCAATTCCTATTACAGTATTATCGAAGACAGACATGATTGACAATCAGCAAAATGGTATTCCAGATGTTATTCCTACCAATTCAGGGAATGTTATTATTTCTGGGTCAAGTTCTGATAACTCAAAAAATGTTATTGATATTGATACTCCTCTGGTAGTAGTTCCATGCTGTTCTGATACAGATAATGTAAATACAGATAATGGAGTTCATTTAAACTCTATATCTTCTACAAAATCTGATTCTATCTATACAAATGCCATTTTTATGAAAGTTAATATTAATGCAGAGGATGTTGTTATTAAAGAAAATTTTTCTCAGGAAAATCAGGAGGTTGATGATAATGAGGAGCTACCAAATAATGAAGATGCAAATGCTGAGGATTTGTTTCATGATAAAGCTATTAGAATTGATGTCCATTCTGGAGCTGCAGTCTTATTAAAGCATAATGACTACATTGATACAGAAATGAATTCTGATAATCATACTCATACCAACTCTATAAATTCAGGTTTTCAAGATCAACCCAAAAAAAGCATAGGAATGAATATATCTGTGCAATCCGATGGGGAAAATGGGAACGGGACAGGTATTGATTTTCCTATTGCAATTGATAA